GACAAAGTTACTTGTGCTGGTGGGAGGTAGCATGTATCCAAGGATTAGTTGGCCCGGACTCACGGTTATCAAGAATAATAATTAAATGAGCTATAAATAAGTACAATTTCTACAATGAAATACACGCTACATAGTCATTAATGGTTTCTATAGAATGCCTCAGTCCATTTCCTCATGACATGTCTTTCCTTTAAGCTTATTATATTGCAGCTAGTTCAAAGCAAACTAGCAATACAGTAGCATTACAACGAGAACATTAACACCAATTCAGAGTACCTTTTCATCCCTTACTAGAACATACAAATTCACTAATCAGCCTTAACATTATCATCACTCACAAGTCACAGCATTGAGCAGAAGTCATTGGATTTGACTTAACTAAAACTTAAAAGCCAAACATATAACGTGCAGAAAAGGAAGATGGATCAAAAAATTAAAACGAAGATAGTGATGTACACCTGGTAGTGAGCCAGCCAAGCTTCTTCTTGTGGCGATAGATCACCGGTGGACGAGGATGCTGATGAAGCTAGGGTTAGTCCATCAACACAATATCAGCTGAATTTCAATGGTACCGGGAAAATTGAGACGGCAATTTCACAGACTACGCAGGACTAATTCTCGCGGTTAATTTACAAAATGTTTTTCTCAAGGGGGAAAGGGCATTTTCGTCTCTGATAATAATGAAAATGATGAGCCATTCATCATGCCAATGGCCACCCCACAATTTTCACGAGTTTTTCCTTACAAAAATTTATTTATCTATACAACAATAATCCTAAATAATGTTTATGAATTATGAGTATTAATTATACATAGATTATCTTTTATGTGTTTTTGATTTGATGTATTATAAATTAACATGTATTTCATGTACAAAATTACTTAATGTATAGTTAATGTATGCATTAATTTTTTTGCACTATTAATATATAAATATTCACGTATTAATAATACATATCTTAATATACAATAGAGTATATAACTAGTATATAACATAAAAAATATACCAAACAAAATGTTTACTATACATAACTAATATATGTATTATAACTTGCTAATACGCTAATATCAAACAATCTCTAAATATATATGATAGTGTTAGTACAAAGCTACATATTGTTAACATTTTGAAAATTTGGCTATAGAATTCTGATTGAAAATTTATTTTTATGTAGTTCGTTAATAGACATTGTTCGTACTCTTTATTTGTCTAAAATAAAAATTCCTACCAATTTAATAAAGTTGAAATATTTCTTATTCTCTATTATATAAGCATATATAAATTGAAATTGACTAAATAGTAATTATTAATTTATCATATTGAAAAATATAAAATAAAACTCAAAATATACTAATCTATACTAAACAATTTAATATGATGTTGATATAATTTTTCCAACGCTAAAATCACCACTGTCAAATATTCCTCCATTATTCATTACTTATAAGTATCATCATCAACCAATATTATCACAACAAACACTAAAACTATTATCAATCCACTATCAAGTTATCAACAACAATTATATATCATCAATTTTTATTTTTTACTATTTGATATTTAACATAAGAAAAAAAAATTAATCTTAACTTAAATCATACAAAATTAAATAACTTTAATCTATTCTGATGTTATCGAAATATCATTTTTTCATATTGATATCAACATGCATTCGACCATTCACGATATTCCTATTATATATAGTTATGACTTATGACACAAATCAAACTTGAATAAGCATAATGTTGAGTGTGTAATTGCAAGTTATTAAAACTTTAGGGACCAAACTGTAATTAAAAAGACCTACCCAATTTGAAAGAGGCAAAAACAAATACGGGTTGGTTTTTATAGAAGACCCGTTTCTTATCTTCTACCAGTGGAACTCAAATCCACCATTCATGGCTTCCTCTCTATCTACAAACCTCAAATTCACCTTACAACATTCTTCTGTAACTCTTCCACCACCAAAATCAACCACCAGAAGAAAAATCTCAGTACGATGCGGTCCACGAAGCAACCGTGGACCTCTAGTTAAGGGCCGAATACTAAGCATCGAAGCAATCCAAGCGATTCAAGCTCTAAAACGAGCTCAAAGAACTGACCCTTCTCAAATCGAAGCTCAAGTCTCAAAAACCCTAAATCGTCTTATCAAAACAGATCTAATTGCTGCCTACAAAGAACTTCTACGGCAAGACCTTTGCGATTTGGCCCTCAAAGTATTCCCAGCCGTTCAATCGGAATGTGATGTCCCTGATTTAGGGCTTTATGCTGATATGGTCTTAGCTTTGACCCGGACAGGTTTTGCTGAACCTATCGATGAATTGATTTGTGATTTGGAGAAAGTGGGAAGGATTGAGTGTGATGATAAGTCGCTGGTAAGGTTGGTGAGGGCGTTGGTTGAAGGTGAACAGGTGGAATCTACTGTTAGGGTTTATGAATTGATGAAAAAGAGTGGATGGGGTTCTAGATTTGAGATTGATGAATATGTAGCTAAGGTTTTAAGAAGAGGGTTTAAGAGATTTGGTAAAGAAGAAATGGCTGATGAAGTTGATCAACAATTACAGAGATCGTCCAGATTAGTGTAGGAGAAACATTCACAGATTTTGTTCACTTCCATCTGTATATTATTGTAGTTCTTAGTAAGTATACATTGTTACTGTTTGCTTCGATTCTATAATATCGAAAAAGATTTGCCAAAGTCGAACATTATCATTGATAGAGTTGAAAATTTGAAGAACTAAACACAGAAACTAGCCGAAACATTAGCACAAGTTGGTTCGCCCTGATCAGGACAATTTCAAATACCCACATAGAAGAAAAAAGCCAATCTTATTATCAGTAGGAATCCAGAATTTGAAAGGATTAGTTACTTAAAAGAATTCATTTTGTCAACCTCTTCTGATGTCTAATACAGAGAAGATCATAGCTTATAAGCATATGAGCAAAACTTTGTTAATCAAGTTGTAAATTTTTTCACACCCCAAACACAAAACAGTTTGATTAGTTGATTACTGGTGAACTCCCTCCGATTAACAGAAAAACACAAATCTTTATTAAGTTATCGGGATATATGAGGCTAGCTCAAGTGGTTGATGGAAAAAAAATGGACAAAAAAAGCGTCGACAGCAGGATTCGAACCTGCGCAGGCAAAGCCCAACAGATTTCGAGTCTGTCTCCTTAACCACTCGGACATATCGACAATTCGTTCATTTTGGTCAGAATTATGATTTAAAATAATAAATAATCTGAACCTTCCATATATGAGTGCAATGACACGCACGAATACACAGTTAAACTTGTATAAAATTGAACAATTAGATACACGTGCCTAACATGACATAATAGACGTAGAATACAAAATTATCATATATAGAACAAATGTGTCTAATTTACGTGACACCCAAAATCAAATGTCAATTTATGTTTATGTATTAGCCGGTAGAATATATGAAGCATCACCAACATATTAGTGTGGGAATGAAAACTATTAATTTGGACCTAGGAAAATAAATGTTGTATGATAAAATTATCCATTAGCAGTGGCTAAATTTCATTTCATTAAAGTAATTCGAAAAGTTAAGTCGGTAATGGAAACAGAAAAGGCATTTGATTAGATACAAAATACAACAAAGGAAATAAAATGTTGATTAGATGGGATGATTGTCATTATGTGCGCACTCACATAAAGCATGAAAAAAAAACACATGATTTGAAGGTTTTTATCATTGGCTTAAAGATAAGCTTCAATTTGGGTTAGATGCTTGTCATTTGTTAATTGGATACAAGTTATTTCCATCAGAAAGTTATTTCCCTCCGTACAAATTTATGAGAAAAAAATTAATATCTAAAATAAATACTAGATATTATTATAAATTATTTTACTATAATAAAAAAAATAAAATTATTTATTTTTAATCATAAAAAATGATGTTTTTGTGACAGACTAAAAAAAGTATACCACATTTTGGATTGCGACTTGTGAGAGTACGTTGGAGTTCCTAATATTTAGTTTGCATGGTTGCTATACAATGACATGACATGAGAAGTCCAACAATATCTTTTCTAGTTGAATTCATTTTGAAATTTGACTAATTCATATTTAAGTAAATACAAAATTTATTAAAAGCAAAACGTTCTATCAATTTTTCTATTAACTCATTGTATCTAAACTTAAAATTTATGATCAAGAACCATTCCACCAATTAGTAACTAAGTTAGGTGGGGGGTCATTATTAGATGACTTTATATTTGTTTTAGAAAATTAAACATTAATAATTTGTAAATTCTTTAATAAAATTGATTGACATTTAAAAAATTAAATAAAAAAATTTAGACCCCAAATTCTTAATATTTATCCGTCGTGTCTACCACTAACACACTTGGGATAGGAGTGAAACATTTTTGGGTCACAAATTATATACTTTTAAGACATGATAAAGTTTCAGGTCCAAATTAATGATTAATCAACGGACCATTAGAATTTTCTTGTAATTAATGAGCATCAAAATTTGGTGGACCTTAACTTATTCTAAAATTGACAAGACTAGGAAAAAATAAATATTTCCTCCTCCGTCTGATATTGTTTGTCATGATTTCTATTTTTAGAGTTAAATTATAAAAATTTTGACTAATATTTTAAGATGTATTTTTTCATCATATTAATATGTAAAAAATTATAATTTATAGTATTTTTTTATATAGTTTTAAAATATCTAATTTTTTTATTTAAAATATTAAATTAATATAATCTAATTTATTTTTAAAAAATAATCAAATTGACTTTAGATAAGCGCAATATAATAAACAATTTTATACGGAAAGAAAGAGCGTAAATAAACAACAAAAGTAGTGCTAGAAAATTGCACTGCATAGAGACAGGACATGTTAAAGGATAAGACCAAAGTTGACTGCTATCTACTGTTACAATATTACAATATTATGATGCGCATCATTAATGGATTATACTTGTTTCTTAATTTATATTTTATTATATTATTGAATGTATTATTTTATAATAATAAAAAGGCTTAAGTCATCTGCGGTAAGTTGTTCGTAAGATTCACTTAGATATTTTAATATGCTCATTTTTCTATTAGACATTCAAATCTTAAAAAATAAGTATCTATCAAACATTTTTACAAGACTTGATCAAAAGAGAAAGCACGTGCAATGCACATGCAATTGATATGCAACTGATGTGGCAAAATAGCAAATCAAATGAAGACACGTGGTATTTAAATTTAAAATAATTCTATAAATGAATTTTGAAAATAAAAGAATCTAAATAAAAAAATAAGAATTTCAACTTTTTAAAAAATAAAATAAAAATCATGTTATCACTCTCACACCCACCTGCACCCTCACCACCTCAAATCTTTCTTTTTCTTCTCTCACTAAAATCACCTCTTTTCCACCATTGTTATTTTCCAAATGGAGATTTTAATATATACTAAGTATGAATTTATCTTCTTCTTTTTTTCTTTACTTCTCTTTATGTTTTCTTTTTTGTTCCTATTTCACAATTGATAGTATATTTTTTTTTATAAAAAAGAATATGTTCAGTGTCTTTTTGTTTTTATTTAAATTTAATTTCTGTTCTTGTTTTGTAATGAAGAAAGAATGGGTGTGAACCTGAAGCTGTGCGTGTGGCCTTTATATTTTCCGGTGGCCTCCATATTTTTCGGTAAAATAAAAATGGTGATCTCCATTTTTTTCGGCAAGAAAATTTAGATTATATTCTTTCATTTTTTATAACAAAGGAAATAAGGACTCACATTTCTTATTAAATTTAAGCATAAATTCAGAAGAAGTAAATGTATAAAGAAAAAATATAAGATGATAGATTTTGTTGTTATGAATAATTGATGGCAACGATTTGCAATTTTGAGAGAGAAAGGAGAAAGAAGAAAGAAGAATTGTTCTTTTTATTTTTTTAAAAAATACCAGGAGAAAAAAAAATTAAAAAGGCACTGATTAAATGATTCACGCGCCTAAAAACGTGTAGAATACACTTTTTGTGCCACGTATGCACAAAGTGTTTAAATGGTTCAAATTCAGAAGAGTCAAAGTGTTCAACAGGTACAAATCTCAGTTAAGGTGTTTAAGTGAATTACGCGGACAACTTTAAGGGTCTATCGATGATTTAAGCCTAATAAAAAACTTAAATTTAAGTATTTATATTAAAGTCTAACTAATTTAAATTTATATAAGTAAAGTGTCATTTGAGAAACAACAATCTCTATGAAACACAAATTCAAATTTGAAATGCAAATCTAAAATTTCTTATTAAAAAATTAAAAATTCTTATTAAAAATAGAAAAAATCTCATCCGTACTATATTGTATCGGAATATTAATTATTTAAGCCAAAACAAATTGAAAAGATTCTTTTTCCAAGAAAAATGAAATAAAATAAAAAATTTTTTAAAAAAGAGTAAGCTTACCTAGTTGGCTAGTTCGACTGTCGGAGTCAAGCCGCTAAAAAGCAGTAACAATATTTTTTTAATGATTTGCTGTCAACCGACCACGGCTTAACCTGCCGGCTACGAGCCAACACAGTACCAGGTTAAACTGTAAAGCCAGCATGTTAATTAAATGTCGAGTTAACAGTAAAAAATTATATAATTAGTGTGTTTCCTGTTCTCTTACACCAATTGTATCTTTATATTTTTTAAGTAAAAATATTTGAATAATATTTTAGTTTTGTTTAAAATTATTATTACGATATTAAATTGTGTATGGATGATCTTTTATTGTTGTATTATTTAATATTTTTCTTGTTTTAAAAATGATGGCCTTGTTTGACTTGTAATGTAGTTTAAGAAAAGAAAGATGTGGTTCTAAATTAAAATTATGTTAAATGTATCAAAATACCCTTTAATCTTGTGGTTTTAAACATGTCACGTGAAAAGTTAAACTTAAAGTGTTGCCAAAAAAGAAAAGGAATTATGAAGGATTTACGATATTCACGTAAATACATATATACCTTTAAAATACACTATTAAATAATACAGATAATAAAAAGTCATTTTCAAAGTTGATATCTATAGAGCAACTTGGTAGATATATTTGTTAATTAAAAGAAGTCTCACTTTTTATTTTTTTTACCTTTTGAATAAAAGCTCTAGTTTACAGCATAAAGTGTGTTGGTAGCTACTGACTAGGGCAGCAAAATCATGAGCATTGGCTGGTTCAGTAATGTTGTTAATACAAGTATCTGCTCTAAATACTAATAGGGTTTGACTTATAAATACTATCAGACCAAAAAATATATTATCTTTCATCATTAAATCATTTTATTTACTACGGACACGATATTTATCGTGTTATATTATAATTCTTTACGATGAGTTAGTTGATTTAAGATTAGCTAGTTGGGTGAATACAAGCATATATGATGATCTTGAATGGATATTTTTCAGTATCTTTTGAGTCGAGCTTGTTGCATAGATTTTGTATAGTATAATTTACGATATGCGTAGTTTGAAGATTACTATCCGATGAGAGATTTATCCAAGTGCGAACAAAATACCCATCACATAGCATAGTACAAGTTATTACTCAATGAGAGATTTATCCCGTGTACACAAAATGCTCACTATAAAATGTAAATTAGTACCAATGGGAGATCTATTCTATGTGTACAAACCGCAAAGTGCAGATTATTACTTAATGAGAGATTTATTCAAGACACATAAATT